AAGATCTACCCTTTTTTTCTATTTTATTTTTTATTTTTATTTTTTCTTTTTTATTATTATGTTAATCACCATACCCTTTTAACAGATTTTTAAGTATATAACATAGCATTGCTAAGTATAGGCTCCATGCCTCACGGGAGATCTCTAGGAATTGTTTATCTTGCAAAGCTGAACTTTTGTTGCCATGGCCTAAGACCTCCCATTCCCCTGGCAGCCACCATTCAACTCTGTGCTTCTGTGAGCTCAACTACTGTAGATTCCTCGTATAAGTGGAATCAGGTAGTATTTGTTTTTCTCTGTCTGGCTTATTTCACTTAGGATCGTGCCCTCCTGGTTCATCTATGCTGTCACAAATAGCAGAATTACTTCATTTTTTAAGGCTGAATAATATGAAGTGCTCAGGATAAAAAACAAAAACCAAAACCAAAGAGGCATTAGACTAGTTGGCTTTGGGGGTGCTTTGCCACAAGGGCCTCCTGTGATTCCATGGCAACCACAGGTTCTGTCTCCTCCTGTGTCATCCCAAGGTCAGGAAGGAGAATGGGTCTTTCAGGAGACCTGTGTGGTGAGAGCAGCCCCACGGGGACGGACACTGGCACTGAGTCACATGTCATGGCTTGGATGCTCTCCTCGCCTCTCCCACTCTGGGAGGTGATCAGGGCAACTGTTACCTCCTTAGTTCCCAGGAGAGAAAATTGAAACCCACAGAAACTGAGTGCCTGAGATTGGACCGCTGAGAGTGGAGCCTGGAGGATCTTCTGCTGGCATGGGGTCTGCCCCTCCACTCTGTCCTGCCAGGCTGGGTCAGGACAGGAATGGCCAGGTGGCAGCCTGAGGGTCTGGAATCACTGAAACCCATATTCAGATTCTGTGCTGCTTGCTGGTGATTTATTCAGAGATCCTTGGCCCAGGGTTTGGGGCTAGGGTTTGGAGATATCATTCCTCCTCCCTGCAGGAATCCTAGTGTTTGACCAGTGTACCATCCAGCTCATGAGGAAAGAGACTATTGAATGCAGCTTCATCAGCTAATTCAGGATTTAAACGAGCTCAAGTACAGTGCAGGAGGCTGGTGGCTTTGCTGTCAGTGGACGATGTTTAGGTGAGAGGGAAGGAAGTTTCCCTCCTAGGCTGAATAAGTAGGTTCTGGGCGATGGGAGTGGAGCCCCTGCATACGCTGCCAGGAACATCCTAATGCCTGAGGCCAGAGAGGCATCTGGGAACCACAGCTCCGTTTGCCAACTTTCTAAACCAAAGGCTTGGTCTCTGTGCCCAGTTTTCCACATCACCTCAGCACGTGCAGCGATGCAAACCGTGGGAAACGGCAGTTGAATGCAGGATGAAATTCTGCCTTGGGTCCTCTTGTAGAAGGCTCAGGAAGCAGGGCAATCTGGGTATCCTGGGGGTGGCAGGAAGGAAGGGCTAGAGGCTAGCATGGGCACCAGGGTGTGTAGGAGACCTGGCCACTGTAGACTGCACAAGCTCTGGGTCACCTGAGCTGTACCTGTGGAGGGCCATTGAGGGGTGTCAGTGTCCTCTGCAGGCAGGTGGCTGTCCTTTGTGTTTATAACTCCAGGACCTGGTTGCCAGGTGCCTTCTGAAGTAGGCTGGGCTGTTGTAGGCCAGGGAGGTTCTTCCTCATGGCGAACTGTAACCTGTCTCTCTTATGTCTCTCCTCGCTGCTCCTCATTCTCCTATGCAAAGCCAAGGTCTGCCTGAGTTGCTGGCTCCATGCTGGAGCCCCTGGTGAGCCAGGAGGTAGCCTCAGTTCAGGGCAGGAGAAAGGAGGGTGGGGGGAGAGCAGGCCCTGGGAGGTGAGGAGGAATAAGGTCTTGAAGGGCAAATGATACAGGTGATGGCATGAGGGATCCATGTCTTTTGGTCTTCCAGTATCATAGGGTGTAAAAATGAAGGCTCATCCTTGGGACTCCTCCACCCCTGTCATCCTCTCTGAAGGCACCCTGTTCCTTTGCTGTCACCTTTTGTAATTATATCATTGTTGAGTTGTGTAATCCTACACCTGACTCACATTTTATGTTCCATGAGCTCAAGAATGATGTTCAATTCCTACTCTATATGTCCAGATGGCCTAATGCCTGAGACAGGAAGTGCTCTGTAAACATTTGTTGAATGAATGAATGAATGAATGAATGGATAGATGAATGAATGGACACTTGGCTGGACTCTAGCTTGTAGAAAAGGCTGTGTACTGCACTAAGAACCTTAGAATTCATTCTTTGAGCAGTGCAGCTGGATGAAGGCAGAGAGCCCCATCTGGAGCTGAGTAGAGGTCAGTGTGTGGTGGGGCACTGTCTTCATCATCTTGGGCTCCTATAGCAAAAATATCACAGACTGGGTGGCTTAAGCAACACAACATTAAGCAACATTTATTTCTCACAGGTTGGATGCTGGGAAATCCAAGATCAGTGCACTGGCCAGTCTGGTGTCTGGTGAGAACCTGCTTCATGGTTCATAGACAGCTGTGTCCTCACATGGCAGAAGGGGTGAGGGAGCTCTCTGGGGTCTCTGTTATAAGGCACCAATCCCATTCATGGAGGCGCTGCTCTCATGATCTAATCTCCTTCCAGTGGGGGGTTAAGTTTGAACATGTGAATTTCGGGGGGGACACAAACATTCAGGGTGTGATGGAGAGGGGGCACCACATAGGACATAGGACATAGGACATAGGGGTGGGAAGGACATAGGACATCTTGTCTCTGTACAGACTGAGAGAGCTGAGAGACACAGCCAGCGGGTGGCCCTGGGATGGAAGTGGAAGAAAGAGACCCACTCTGGGAAGGTGCACAGCAGCCTCCTTGCTGATCTGCCGGCTGGTCCCCCAGAGTCTGCAGAGAGGGCTCCCCTACCTGGCATCGTTGTGCTCTCTGGTGGTGGCTGGCTGCTGCTCAGTGTTGATTACAGTTTGAAATGCCGGCGCTTCAGTCCCATGCTGCTACACACCACAGACATTCCGTTTCACTGTAATGAGGTTTCAGTTAGAATGTTGGAAAGAAGAAAGCCTTTTAATTAGATTGGTAGTAATTGAGCTCCCAAACCACAGAAGCCTTTTTCTCAGAAGCCGAAAACACAGATGCAATTAAAAGAAGGAAAGCCACCCAAATGGAACACTGGCTAATTTTAAGTCCATTAAAAACAACAACTCCTTAATAAGTTGACGCAACAGATATATGTCCTAAAAGAGGTCAGTGATGCTTTCAAATAATATTGGAGGTTGAACCAGAACTAGAGTACTTGTGCAGTTCAAATATATGGCTCTGTCGGGGACAATTTGCTCAGTACAGAATACCGAGAAATGTTAGCTACATAACGTTTTCCAGCAAAAAGACTCTGCCATGTTTTATTTTGGAAAATAGGATGTATTTTTCCTGTAACCAAACTGGCAGCTTCTTCTGGATACAGCTGTGACCTGGGACCCTACTAGGATGGTGTCGTCGCCTGTCCCTTCCCAAGCAGCTCTGTCTTTCTTTGGGATTCACATACCTCCCTGCCTGCCAAGTTCACCTCTCAAAGTTGCTCAGAATTTGAGCTGCTGAGCCAGGGGCATTGATGCATCAAAGAATCTTTGCCAGCTCCTTACATGATCAACACATTTCTATTTTAATGAGAAACAGCATTTATTTCTTATTGGCATTCCAGCCCTCTGACCACGCCCCAGCAGATGCCATGTTCTTTCTGCCATTGGATCTGTTTTTGTGTATGCCATCAGTTAACAGGGCCAGGTAATTCCTGTTGGAGGAGCTCACAGTCTCAGCTTCTAGGCACATCTGTTTGGGGGCATTAGTAAATACTTTCTCCTAAAGAGAGTGACACTTGCCAATTTACAGAGTCCTTTAGGTGGGAACTGGGGGCTAAGTTCTGAAAAACACCATCTCAGTAGAACTATTGCATGAAACTTGCTCATTTTCTAGGCCATGTTGGGGTTGGCCAGCAGTGATAAGACCCTGCTTGCATACCAGTTGGAAAGATTGATGTTCCCCAGAATTTTTTTTTGATGTCCTGTTCTGGGTCAAAGCCATGGTTGGTACACTATCCCAAGCTCTGGTTGGAGCACAGAAGTGGCACCCTGCTGGATCCCATCCTCAGGTGGTTTGGGAATGTGGAAAAAGGAGCTTTGAGTCAGAAAGATCCAAGTTTGAATAGCTCCTTTAGAGAGTCATCTTACCTTTCTGAAACTTGGTTTGCTTATTAGGACAGAATTTACCTTGTAGGTGTGTGTCAGGGGCCAGGCATGCTTCTTGGTAGATAGAAGATGAGAGAAAAGAAAGGCAGATCCATAGGGACCAGGCAGAAATGTGACCCATGCAGTGTCATTGGCCTCTATCGTGGCTGCTGTCACAGGTCATACTCCCTTTCCTGGTGGAAGGAAGCACAAGATATTTACATTTGTTTAAAACTGTATACATTCTGGTAATAAACTTGACTTTAAAGAATTGGAGGGGCACCTGGGTGGCTCAGTCATTAAGCGTCGGCCTTCGGCTCAGGTCATGATCCTGGGGTCCTGGGATTGAGTCCCGCATTGGCGTTGGGCTCCCTGCTCAGCGGGAAGCCTGCTTCTCCCTCTCGCACTCCCCCTGCTTGTGTTCCCTCTCTCGCTGTCTCTCTCTCTGTCAAATAAATAAATAAATGAAATCTTTAAAAAAAATTGGAATTTGTACCCAATTTTATTTTCTTAAGCATATAAATTATTGTAAAGGGTACAAAGGAAAATAAGCTAAATCATTAGCAAGTGTTATCTTTGGATGTGGGGCTGTGGGGTTTTAATTTTCTTCTTTATACTTCTTCATATTTTGTAAGTACTCTGTAATAAATGTGCTTAACTCTGGGGAAGTGCTGTTTGCAGATATTTGGAAGTGCTTGGCGCCTCCTAATTTCCACACACTCCAGCAGTCCCAGTAGCCCAATTCCTGCATAAATAACGGTATCACTCCCTCTTTTGTAAACCCTATAAAACCGTATTTATGGTTCTTTCTTTTTCTTTGAAGGATGAGAAGAACCAAGTTTTAACCACCAACATTTGGCTGCAGATGGTAAGTTGAGACAATGGCAGTCCTCTGCTGTGGGTCTTCCTGCTCTTCCTTCCCAGAGGCCGGTGCTTGAAATACAGGGGAAGCAGAGGGCCCCTGAGAAAAGCCAGGGCAGTCCTCCGTCACTGCACACATGCCAATGTAAGTGAAATAGAACATCCGCTTTGGGGTGTTTCTCACTGCATCCTGCAGGACTGAGTGCATGCTTGTATTTCACTATAGGGTGATTTGGGGACATTTTAAAAGCACTTCATGCAAGACAAATAATAAGATTAAGATCTGCATTGTCTGTAACCTGCACTAACTGGTCCCCAGGGCTCAGGGGCACCTGCCTCCCTCCCCATGCCCCCTTGGAATCCTAGAGAGTTGCCTAAGCCAGAGGCCTCCATACTTAGTGCTCCAGTGGCCCCTGCAAAAGTTTTGAAATGCTATATTCCATTCATGGATTTTTAACTTGACATCTAAAATTCTCACCTAAATTTAATGAATTGCAAATGATGTCTCTTCCAGCAAATTGTAAATATTGACATTTGAAACTAAAACTGTTAGTCTCTATTTTAAGTGGAATCTAAATGCCATAATAATTTGATGTCCGTATCATTCACTTAAGAAATATATAAACAAAGCCTTCTTTAACTGCCAGATATTTCACACAGTTCCTGTCTTCTTTGTACTGGCATTGTGATTCCAATTTTCACACAGAATTTTATCCTAACGTAGTATAATTTTGTGTTTGCAGGCCTTTTATTAATCACTCTGTCTTGGTTCTCTTAAATATAAATATTTACATAAAAATATTCCTTTAGACAATAAGTGTTAATTTTTTTCTCCTAGATTGATTTAGGTTTACAATGATTATTGGTACTTAATTCTTCAAGGTGACATTTGTCTCTCTACCAAAGATGAGGCTTTGTTTTAAATTAATTCATGTATTCATAGATGACTATTTTTTATTATCAGAAATGAGACACTGATGTAGATTTCACCATCAGTTCTATGATTTTTTAAAATAGATGTAGTAATGTGTCATTCATAATGAAAGACATTTTGTTACAGCAGTGTTAATCAATTCCTTGAACTTCTTCCAGATGACATGCCAAAGATAATACAGTTTTATCAGGACCTATCAGCTGACAGCTTGATTACTTTCTCATTCAATTTTGTTGAAAGCAAGGAATTAAAGGAATTAAAATCCACCTGATCTTTGAAAGTTTTTGTCACCCAAGTTTTAACACATAGACACTGGTATTTTGAATTGACCTTTTGTTTGCTTCTTGGGCCAGTGTCCCAAGATAGGAGTCGAGGTACAGGAAATACACCTTTCTTTGTAGGGTGGAAATGAGAGAAGTAAATGTAAGGAAAGGGGTACTCCCAGGGGGTTCCTGGGCAGGTGAGTTTTAATGGGAATGCATGTGGAAGTTGAGGGAAAGAAAACAGATTCACATAAAGCCATCTGCTATGTGTCCCTCGAGTACGCTTCGCTACACATGAGATCCCTTGCAGAACATTTGAGAGATTTCCCTGTAGTATTTAAAGCAACATTCTTGGGTGCCTGGGTGGATCAGTGGGTTAAGCGACTGCCTTCAGCTCAGGTCATGATCCTGGAGTTCCAGGATCCAGTCCCACATCGGGCTCCCGGCTCAGCGGGAAGTCTGCTTCTCCCTCTGACCCTCTCGCCTCTCATGCTCTCTCTCTCTATCTCATTCTCTCTCTCAAATAAATAAATAAAATCTTTAAAAAAATAAAAATAAAGCAACATTCTTTAGTGAGCACATTCTGCCCTCAAAGCCTGTGCACACCTGCTGTAGCTTCCCTTTGTCATGGGCACAGGGTCAGTGCTCCCCTTAGAGAAGGGCCTTCCCTCTTGGGAGGAGGTTCCCCCTCCTGGTACCTTCTGAGAACCTTGCTTTCACAGTTGTCCCTGTTGCCTCTAACATCATAATAGTGTCTGCAGGTTGTTCTCATTAGCATACAGACAAACCTCAGTTTGTCCCCATTAACCCTCCCCAGTGACTCTGGTTTCCTCCTCACCTTTACAGCAATGTTTCTCCAAGTGGTGCTTCCCCAGGCTCAGACTGCCCCCAGTCTCTTCCCATGCATTCTCAGTTAAACTCACCTCGCCTGGCTTGGGGTGAGCAAACCACTAGCCCCTAGGTTGCTGAATGCTTTATTATGAATAACAATTTTCCCCAGTTTTTTTTGATGAACATTTTCAAACATACCGAAAAGTTGAATTTATGGTGAGTCTGTATCTTCACCTCTTAGATTCTGTAATTAGCATTTTTTAATTCTCGCTTTCTCCCATATTTGGCTAGCTGTCCAACTTTCTATAGATCTAGCTTCTTTTTAAGTTCAGTTCAAAGTAGAATAGTGGACAGTGGTCCCTTTCACCCATGTGTCTTGCAGCTCTTTGACTAGGGTGTCTTTCAAGGTAAAAATTTTAGGTACAATGCAATGCACAGACCCTAAGTGTACTGGTCAGTGAATTGCCAGGCATGCTTTCAGCTCCTCCGTCCCACTCCCTTCTGGAAGCAGAACGTTGCCATCACCCCAAGTGATATCTTGTGTCTCTTACCTGCCAACACCTGCTCTAGCCCCCTACTCCCCACCAGGCGTAGAACACCATTGTTTTGCTTTTTCTAGGGATTGATTTTTTTCCCCCCTCTTATCTTACTGGGTCTCTCAGGAGCATTTGGTAGAGTTGATTGGTCCCTCTTCCTGAAATCCTTCTTCATTTAGTGTCTGGGTACCTCTCCTTAGGTTTTTCTCCTAACTCACTCGTGACTTCTGAGTTCCCTCTGCTGTCTCTTCATGTCTGTCCAGCCATTCCTTGTTTCAGGAGTTGGAGGACCCAGTATCCTGGCTTAAGGCACCATTCAGGAGCTAACAGCACCAACCCAGCTTCCTCCCTGGTGTCCCCATGCAAGAACCCAGCAGGCTCTTAACCCCAGTGTGTTCTAGACCACCCCTTCTTTCCCTTTCACACTTGCCCCCTCCATAGTGATAAGAAGGAAAAATTCTCTACCCTTTAAGGTCTTCTAGTTGGACTAAGATTGAATTTACGTGAGACAGATTTTTTTTTAAGATTTTATTTATTTATTTGACAGAGAGAGATACAACGAGAGAGGGAACATAGGCAGGGGAAGTGGGAGAGGGAGAAGCAGGCTTCCCGCTGAGCAGGGAACCCGATGCGGGGCTCGATCCCAGGACCCTGGGATCATGATCTGAGCTGAAGACAGACGCTTAACCGACTGAACCACCCCAGGCGCCCCTACATGAGACAGATTAACAGGAGAAAACAAAGTTTTATTACATGCACGCGGAGGCCCAATAATGATATTGAGACCTACCGAAATGACCAAGGCGGATAGTTTTTAAGGTTTCTTAGAAAAAGAGACACTAAATCTGTGAGGAATTGACAGGACAAAAGCCGTTAACTTTGGGAGCTTTAATTAGTAAGGGATTCTGAAGGGAATTTGGACTGTGCTGGGAAATTAGTAAAAAGTAACAAGGGTTGTTTCTACAGCCTTCTTGGCTCTAAATTTCCTATCTCTGGTGATAAGGATGTCTCTTTAGCTCCTGGTACAGGGAGGGTACCTTTCATGGGAGAAATTTATTTCCTGCTTTCGGGGGGACAGAGGAGGGTCTGAAGGTCCTTCTCGCACAGGCCCTTTTAAGTAAATTTTTTAAAAAAATAATCAGTATGATGGGCATTAAGGAGGGCACGCGTTGTGATGAGCACTGGGTGTTATACACAACTAATGAATCATTGAACGCTACATCAAAAACTAATGATGTACTGTATGTTGGGTAATTGAATGTAAATTAATAAGATAAAATAATCAGTATGACAAAGTGGAACATTTTGGGTAGCCTGACCTTGGCCCCTACAGTAGTTGTCTCCATTTGGAATAAATGGTAGTTCCATGTCTTCATTTGCTCAGATCAGGGATGAGGCTTAACTCTTGTCTTTCACACCCACTTCTGACCTGGCAGTTCGACCTTCAAAAGAGATCCAGGCTCTAACCACTGCATGTCAACACCATTGCTTGCACCCTGGTCTAAACCAGCATCATGTCTCACCTATGTTATTTTGGAGACTCCTATCCCAACTTTGTGTCTCAGCCCTTATCTCCCCTAGTGATATCTGTTCTCAATATACCAGTCAGTATGATCCCAAAAAGAGAAGATGAACATTCAGCCACAAGCCTCATTGGCCCTGGTCCTTCCAGGGGCTCCTGTCTCACTCAGTGGTGAGCTGAAGTCCTTGAGGTGGTCTCTGACTCTTTCTGCCTGGCCCTTGCATCTGCCACATCCCCTCCAGCCCTCTTCTTCTTGCTGTGCTCCCTGCCCTGCTTGATGCCTTCACACATCACCCAAGCGCACACCCACCTCAGGGCCTTTGCACTTGCTCCCCCTGCCTAGAAGGCTCTTTCCCCAAGAACCACTTGCTTTTCTCCCTTGCTTCTTACTAGTCTCTTCCTGAAGATCCCTTTTTAGTGAGGTATTCTCTGAGTCCCTGGGTACTGTCTCAAACCCTCCCCTACTACCCCAGCCCATGCCATTCTCCTTACCTGGTGTCTTTGTTTGGGCTGCTATAATGAACTACCATAAACTGGGTGGATTATCCACAGCAGATATTTATTTCTCACAGTTCTCAAGGCTGGAAGTCCAAGATCATGGTGCCGCCATGGTTGGGTTCTATTCAGGGCACTCTTTTGAGTTGCCTTTGTGTTGTGTTCTCACATGGTGGAGAGAGATTGAGCTAGCCATTGGCCTCTTTGTATAAGGGCACTAATCTCATTTGGGAGATCTCCTTCCACATGATCTAACCACCTGGTAAAGGCCCTCCTCTGCCGTCCCTCACATTGGAATTAGGTTTCAACATAGCAATTTGAGGGAACACAAACATGTATCCATTAAGTCCACTTCATTTTGTTTCTGAAGTGCTTGTCCTATTCTTTGTTTATTTGTTCTCTGGCTCTGAGTCTCCCTCCAGCAAC